GTCTATCTATCTATATCTTTCTGGAGTTGGAGTCTCACTCTGTTGCCCAGACTGGAGGGCAGTGGCATGCTCACAGCCACCGCAGCCTTGACCTGCTAGGCTCCGGTGATCCTTCCACCTCAGCCTTCCAAGTAGCTGGAACTACAGGCGTGGGCCACCATGCCCAACTAATTTTTTGATTTATTGTAGAGACGAGGTCTCTCGCCTAGCTGCCCAGGTTGGTCTTGAACCCCTGAGCTTAGACAGTCTTCTTGCCTCAGCCTCACAAAGTGCTGGGATTACAGGCTTGAGCCACTGTGCCTTGCTTATTCTTTTTAAATTTCATTGGCTAGAGGTGGCTCTAGATTAAAAAGCAAAGTGAAGGTGGTCACTCATGCCTGTAATCCCAGTAACTTGGAAGGCTGAGTCAGGAAGATTGCTTAGGGCCAAGAGTTAGAGATTAGTCTTCAGCTTGGACAATATAGCAAGACCCAATCTCTATTTTAAAAAAAATTAGCAGGACACGATGGCTCATGCCTGTAATCCCAGCAATTTGGAAGGCTGAGGCAAGAGGATTGCCTGGACCCAAGGGGTTGAGACCAGCCTGGGCAACTTGGCAAGAACTTGTTCTACAATAAATAAAAAATAAAAAAATAGCTGGGCATGGTGGTTTACACCTGTAGTTCCAGCTATTTGAAAGGCTGAGGTGGAAGGATCGCCTGAGCCCAGCAGCTTGAGGCTGCGGTGGCCGTGAGCATGTCACTGCACTCCAGGCTGGGTGACAGTGAGACTCCAACTCAAAAAAAAAAAAAGAAAAAATTAGCCCATGTGGTGGTACACACCTGTATTTCCAGCTACTCAGGAGGCTGGAGCTAGGAGTTCGAGGCTCCAGTGAGCTATATTTGCTTGCACTTCAGCCTGGGCAACAGAGGGAGAACTTGTCTCAATAAAGAAAAGTAAAAAGAGCAAAGTATAAGAGTGTTTAGTACACTACCATTTGTGCTTTACAGAAAAGGAAAAAACTTCTCTTTTTGTCTCTTTCTGACTTCCTTTCTTTTTTTTAAACTCTGGATCTCACTCTGTTGCCCAGGCTAGAGTGCAGTGACACGATTACAATGATTACAACTCATAGCAGCTTCCACCTCCTAGGCTCAGGTGATCCTTCCACCTCAGCCTCTCAGTAGCTGGGACTACAGGCACGCACCACCATGTCAGACATATTTTTAATTTTTCTGTAGAGAACGAGGTTTTGCTATGTTGCCCAGGCTGGTCTTGAACCCCTGGGCTTAAGCAATCTGCTGGCCTTGGCCTCACAAAGTGCTGGAATTACAGCTGTGAGTCATCGGGTCCTGGCTCACTTGCTTATATATAAAACCTATTTGGCTGGGTGCAGGGGCTTCTGCCTATAATCCCAGCACTTTGGGAGGCCAAGGTGAGAGGACTGCTGGAGCCCACGGGTTTGAGACCAGCCTGGGCAACTTGGTGAGACCTCAGCTCCACAATAAGTAAAAAATATCAGCCGGGCGTGGCGGTGCATGCCTGTAGTTCCACCACGCACCTGACTCTCGGAAGACTGAGGCAGAAGGATCACCTGAGCCCAGCAGGTAGAGGCTACGGTGGCCATGAGCATGCCACTGTACTCTAGCCTGGGCAATAGAGTAAGACTCTGACTCAAAACAAAAACAAAACAAAAAACTATCACTGGAATGATACTCTGAAACAATATTGGCTGCTTCTGGATAGAGAAACTGTAGCCAGAAAATAGGGCTGAAATTTGAATCCTGAATCCTTTTGTAAATTTTTGAACTAGATTTTACAAGTATTTTGATTATCATTATTTATACCTTATCTATATATTAGTATGTATAAGATAAATATTACTTATGTATTGTAACTATTACTTAGTCAAAAATGTTTTTGGAAATGTTTAATATAGAATGAAAATATTCAGAATGAAATTATAGGTGAGGTGGCTCATGCCTATAATCCTAGCACTTTGGTAGGTGGAGGCAAGAGGATTGCCTGAGTTCAGTGGTTCGAGTTCAGCCTGGGCAACTTGGTAAGACCTTGACTCTACAATAAATCAAAAAATTAGCCAGGCATGGTGGCATGTGCCTGTGGCTCCAGCTGCTGGGAAGACTGAGGTGGAAGGATCACCTGAGCCCAGCAGGTCAAGGCTGTGGTGGCCATGAGCACTGCACTTCAGCCTGGGTGACAAAGTGAGACTCCTACTCAAAAAGAAAAGAAAAAAAAAGAAAAGATTCATAGAGAGACTAGAACATGTGTGAATATGCTCATAGAAAGATGGTCAAGCCAGGCTTGGTGGCTCAGCCTGTAATTCTGCACTTTGGGAGGCTGAGGTGAGTGGACTGCCTGAGCATGCGGGTTCGAGACCCGCCCGGGCAACTTGGCGAGACCTCGTCTTTACAATAAATCAAATGCGTGGTAGCGCATGCCTGTAATTCTGGCTACTTGGAAGGCTGAGGTGGAAGGATCCCCAGAGCCCAGCAGGTCGAGGCTGCGGTGGCCGGGAGCAGCCACTGCACTCCGGTCTGGGTGACAGAGTGAGACTCCAACTCAAAAAAAAAAAAAAGGCATGGGACTGGCAGACAGGACCACAGCATGGAGCAAGTCAGGGATGGGAAAGGGTCTTGCTCACCTTGCTCTTTTCAATTTGCATATTTTGGAAAGAGAATTTTAACTTGGCTAATTCTAAGGAAAAAAATAAATAAGATCAGGACAAAACATACCGAGGTAGTCATAATAGCTCTTTAGATAATGAGATTATAGGTGATTTTTTTTCTTTCTTCAACTTTACTTTCAAAAAATTTTCCAATTATTCTATAAATAACACTCTAATGGAAAAGCCAACAAACCTTTTAAAAAAACTATATTGTCTTAAAAACATTTTTAAAGCTTCCATTAATCTTTTAAAGAATTTTAAATGATCTTCATCCCTTTTTAAAATGCAAGTAATACAGACTCCTTATAAAATGTCAAACTACATGGAAAGATAGAATGTGGAAAGAAAAAGTATTGTGTAATTCCATCTCCTGTGAGATAACCACTATCTTCCAGAACTTTTGAAATATTGCATATTTATGTTAAAAACTTAAAAACAGTCAGCACGATGGTTCATGCCTGTAATCCCAGCACTTTGGGAGATGGAGGTGAGAGGACTGCCTGAGCCCACGGTTCGGGTCAATAAATCTCTACAGGCTGCTCAGTGGTTTAGCCTGTAATCCCAGCACTTTGGGAGGCCAAGGCGAGAGGATTGCCTGAGCCCGCGGGTTCGAGACCAACCCAGGAAACTTGGCGAGACCTCGTCTCTAAAATAAATAAAAAATTAGCTGGGCATGGTAGCGTGTGCCTGTAGTTCCAGCTACTTGGAAGGCTGAGGCGGAAGGATCGCCAGAGCCCAGCAGGTAGAGGCTGCGGTGGCCGGGAGCGGCCACTGCACTCCAGTCTGGGTGACAGAGTGAGGTACCTACTAAAAAATAATAATAATAAAAATAAATAAGCAAACCTCTACAATAAAAAAAAAAATTTTTTTTTTTTTTTTTTTGTGTTGGAGTCTCACTCTGTCACCCAGGCTGGAGTACAGCAAAATGGTCACGGCCACCACAGCCTCAACCAGGCTGGTCTTGAATCCGTGGGTTCAGGCAATCCTCTCACCTTGGCCTCCCAAAATGTTGGGATTACAGGCTGAGCCACCGAGCCCAGCCTAAAAATAATTTTAAATTAACTGGGGAGACTAAGAACTGGAATGTTATTTCTTTGTGCCAAGCAGAGTCCCAAAGGTTTTAAACTTATCATCTCACTGAATCCACCCAACTACTCTCTGGGGTTGATATTGTGTCCCAGTAATCAAAGAGTCAGGGCTGGGAAGGGTGAAACAATTTGCCTGAGGCCACACTCGAGCAAGGGGCAGGGTTGGCATTTAAACCCAAGTCCAGGAGATAGCTAAGCCACAGCCTCGGGCCACTGCCATCATGGTGGGTGGAGCCGGTGGCACAACTGTGGTGCAGAGGCTGGACCCAGTTCAAGTCTGGCAGCTCCTTATCCAGTGCCCAGGGAATGGGTGTGGGATAAAGGATTTCGACTTTTGTGACACATGTAGCCCTTATGATTGGGCGGGAGGAAACGATTAACAGTGAAGTTGGGGCACAATGGATCGAGGGGGCATTTTACAGTGGTCGCTGGGGAAACACAGAGGTGCGGTGGGTGAATTGGAGAAAAGCAGCTTGCCCCATGACTCCAAAGGGTTAAGGCCAGGCTGGAAAGCCCCAGGGGGAAGCTCCCACCAAAGGCCTTCTCCTCCCACATCAGCAGGGACTGGACTGGTTCCTCTGAGATTATTCCTGGCCCCTGGGCCCCAGGTGAGCTGCAGGGGAGGGACTGAAGCCCTAGGTTTTACACACCCCCTTTCCTGTGGGGCTCACAAAGTTAGGTGCCCTGGGATAGGCCCCCTGGCCCCTGACCGATGAGGTTTGGCCCAGGCCCACTGTGGGAATGAGAGCCATTGGGCCCCAAACCTGGGGCCCCAAGAATGGTGAGGATGTAGCCTTTGGAAGAAGTGGGCCTTTCTGGAAGGAGTCTGCCTGGCTCACCCTCCAGGTCAGTACGCTAGGGAGTTTCAGGACCGGGGTTGGGGGAGCTGCCTCGGGAGGAGATGCGTGTTGGGGGCTCAGAGAGCTCTAAAGTATTTCTCGAACCAGTTTCCAGGCTCCAGTCCCGCTTGCACCCCGCCTCCCCCCAAGCCTGGCCATGGGCTTTCTTTCCGTAGATCTTTCTTTCTATCGAAACCTTCTCCTCCCCTCCTCTCCCCTCCCCTCCCCCCAGACTCTTTGGAAATCTTTCAACTTTCTTTCAAGTCTTCCCTGGGCAGTCGGAGACCTGCTTCGGAGCTGGGTCAGGGCGCTTTAACACCCTCAGCTGGGGAGAGTGGATGACAATAGCTGCTATCACTTTACCATTGGAAGTGACCCCCGAATTTGCACTTCTTTCATCTTGGGACCAGAGCACTTGAGGGTGGGCGATTTCCTGGGGGGAGTGGCTTAAGCCGCTTCCCCACCGGCCAGTTGGCTGTAGACGGTCCGGGCTCTCCAAGGTTCTCTCAGATATGAAGCTGGGTCTGGAGTAAGAGTGCAGCTCCGTGGGACGCTGCCTGGGAAGGCCTCTCCCACCCGGTGACTTCAATGTCCCAGGCTGGAAGGTGGAGCGGGAAGCGGACGCCCCCAGGGCTCTGGGCCACCCTTCAGGTCAGTACGCTAGGGAGTTTCCTCAAAACTAGGAAGGGCGGGTACCTCGTGTGGCTTGGAGGCTCCAGGAGAGTGAGGGGTGGACTTGGGACACTGCTGGGCACAGATTAAGGAGTGACCTGTGAAGATGGCTGTGCGTGTGTGTTTGTGTGAGGCATTGTTTCAAGTTCTCCCTACCCCCACCTCCACCCTGTCCCCACCCCCACCCGTCTGCCTAGCTCTCCTCCCCACCTACACAATGGTCTGACCTCAGCCCCTCCCCAGGTTCCGGAGCTTCCCAGGTTGGGTCCCCGGTCTCTGCAGCCCTGGGCTGGTCAGCTCCCTCTCTTGTCCTCCGCTGCCTTCTGGCACCCCAAGGGGCGAGGGGTACCTGTGTTGCCTCCTTTGTGGGCGGCACACTCCTCCTCCCTCTCCTCCAGACACGTGGTTCACTGATCTGGGCTTGGGCGACTTGGGGCCTCAGGCCTCCCCTCGTGACCTCAGGTGCACCCACTACCCTTGCGGATGGGAACGTCCTTGGGAAGTCAAAGTTGAAGGACTCGGCTGCCACCGGCCAGCCCAGGCAGCCACCCTTGCCAGGCTTGGCCCCCAGGCACCAGGGAGGGAGCCAAGATGGCTGGCGCTGCCTCTGGCCTGGCAGGGTGTAGCCAGGGCCACCAGGCTGTTGTGGCTGGGGGTGGAGGGCAGGCCAGGGAGGCACAGAGTGAGGCTGGGTGAGGAGCGGCCATCGAGGGGAGATCAAACCCTGCAGCCTTACCGAGGGCGGAGGCCTGAGTGGTCCACATCCTTGTGGAGCCTGGCTAACTCTGAAAACTGCAGCGCCCGCTCTGGGAGGGACCGGAAGAAAAGGGAAGACAGAACACAGGGTCCTTAGAGCTATACAGTGCCTGGGATGAGCCTGGTGGGGAAGGAGTTGGTTCTAGAGACCAGAGACTTGCTAGCCTCGTGTCAGTGGACCTCTTGCCCTTCTTTCCCTTACCTGCACAGAGCCCACCTTCACTCCTGAAACGCAGGAGACAGGCCAGATCTGGGTTCTGAGACCCCGTCCACTTGAAATACGGGGGAGCAGGAGAGCAAGGAAGCTGACCTTGGTGCAGGCCAGGCTGTGCGGGTCCTGCGGAGCTGCCTGTGGCCCTGCTTCACTCCTTGGCTCCAGAGACTTTCCGAGGTGCCGAGATGCTGGCTGGGTACTGTGTCTCTACCCTTCCAACTTCAAGTAAGGGGAGTGGGGCAGCCTGTGTAAGCCCGGGACGCTTGCTTCCTTGGTTGTATGACTTTCCAGATCGTTTTCAAGAGTCATGGGGCTAGGGGAGGCCAGCGAGGCCAAGTACTTAGGTTAGCGATCACCTCCTGCACCGCATTCCCTGAGAATGCACCTGGCCCCGGGCGTGAGTTGCGCTTCAGGGGAAGAAAGCCGCCGCTAAGGGACTGCTGCACCTGAACCCCATCATCAAGCGTCTACTTAAGGAGGATGGGCTTGGCTGCATGTGTGGCTCTTGCCTCTCCACGTTGCCCCTTTCTCTGGTGGCCCAGCCCCATTCTGTGTAGCTGGGGGCGGGTGGGTGTGAAGCTTCCCTGTGGAGCTGTTTTTTTCTTGACCGACTTTTGAGGCAGCCAGAAGTGGGGTGTTACCTACTTCTCCTCCTCTTCCCTCTTTGGGGAAAAGGAAGGAGTGAGATAAGGTGGAGGCGGGTGGGACTGGGACTGGGCAGAGTAGGGTGGGACAGGGAAGGGTGGGGTGGGGAAGGGTGGGGTTTGTGCAGGAGGAAGTTGAGATATCTGGACCTTGTGTTGGAAGGTATTTGGACACGGCTGCATAAATTCAGGCAAGTCAACTTTACCTTTCTGGATCTCAGTTTCCTCATCTGTAAAGTGGTTCGGTCTGTCTCAGAGTCCCAAGAGTCCATGTGTTTCTGGATCCACTGAATGATTAAAAATTGTGGGTGATGGAGTTACTTACAGTGGCTAGGAGGGGAGCCCTGGAGTCAGGCTGCTTAGATTTTGTAGCTTTTCATAGCTGTGTGGTCTTGGGAAATTTCTTAATTTAACCTCTTGAGCCTCCCTTTGTCCAGGTGTGGACTAGGAGTAGCTGATCTTTGTGTGATGGAGTGTAGTTCACATGGAGGGAAGGTGAGAACCACAGATAAACAAATTTACGTCTGAAAGGCTGAAATGCAAATACTATCCTGGTGAAGACACAAAACTTGCATTCCCTTGGGGGAACTTCAGGCTTTGCTCAGAAAATAGGCCCCTTGAGCATCAGAGCAGGAAGAATCCTCCACACATTCAAATTGGTCACATTTATCTATTTGCCTTTATCACTTCCAGGATGCTCTATTTTTCTGAGATTTTGGTTGAATTAACAAAGTTAAATGTACTTAGTAAGTGGTCAGTAAATAGTGGCCATTTTTGTGATTTTGTTTGCAAAGTACTCATTTATATGCAGCTGTATAACAGTGTTCACCAAGTGATGTCATGTAAGGAAACAGACTGCATCTTGTTTGTTGGGATGCCTGCCAAAATGAGAATGCTCTTTGGGTCTGCAGTTTTTCACAGTTTGGGTTTTACTACATATGTAAGTGTTCTCTTTAACTAAGGACCGTTATGAAGTTTAACGATTAAAAGCCCAGTTCCAGGGTTAAATAATTTGATACAAGTAGAAATATGGCGAGAGGTTAGGCCAGATTTGTCATAATATACGCGTTTTAAAGAAGTCTCTAGCTTAGAAATTTTATCCAAAATTGGTGAATCTGATCACCAACTTTTAATATTGCATTTTATGATCATCAAGTAAAATTCTGGCCAGTGTTCCTTCAGTGCTTTAAGATTTTTTTTCAACTCTACTGAATCACAATTTGCACTCAAACACATTCCTTATAAATTCACAGTTCTGAGAACTGAAAAATGTATACGCTCAAACACAGTTTTTTTTTTTTTTTTTTTTTTTTTTAGTCAGGTCTCACTCTGTTGCCCAGGCTGGAGTGCAGTGGCGGGCCCACGGCCACTGCGGCCTCTACTTGCTGGGTTCAGGTGATCCTTCCATCTCAGTCTTCCAAGTAGCTGGAACTACAGGCACGCGCCACCATGCCTGGCTAATTTTTTTGATTTATTGTGGAGACAAGGTCTCATCAAGGTGCCCAGGCTGGTCTCGAACCCCTGAGCTCAGGCAATCCTCTTGCCTCAGCCTACTGAAGTGCCGGGATTACAGGCGTGAGCCACCATGCCCAGCAACACAATTTTTAAACCTAAGTCTCTTTTTAAATCAGTGTACTGAACACAGAGAACAAAGATCTGAGAAGCCAGAAAGGATGTCTCTTTTCTAATTTAAAAGCAATGTCCATAAAAGAATACCACTCTGCTTTGCAACTCAACACTGCAAGTACCAGTAATTAGGATGATCAGTTTGTGCTGGGAAGGTGACTGAGGCTTTAAACAGGCCCTAAGGATCATCTGGTTTCAATTATGGGGCAACAACCACTAACTTGTGTCATGACCTTGGGTAATTTAGGCAAATTAGGCAAACTTCAATTGCATCAGTTTTCTCACCTGTAAATTGGGGCTAATGATAGTACCTACCTTAAAGTATTGCTGTCAGGATTAGGACAGTGCATGGCAAATAGTAAATACTAGTTGTTTTTTTGTCTACACAGTGGATAGGCTGTTGTCCCTTTGAGAAGCCTGTCTTTATTCTAGGTCAGTAGTTCTCAAACTTTTTGGTCTCAAGATCACTGAGGAGATTTTGTTTATATAGGTTGTATCTCCAGCACTGTGACTCACGTCTGCAATCCCAGCATTTTGGGAGAATGAGATGGGAGGATTGCTTGGGCCCAGGAGTTTGAGAATAGCCTAGGCAATATAGCAAGACCTCATCTCCACAAAAAAATAAAAAAATAGGCTGGGTGTGGTGGTTCACACCTGTATCCCAGCTACTCAGGAGGCTGAGGTGGAAGGGTTGCCTGAGCCCAGGAAGTTGAGGCTATGGTGAGCCATGATTGTGCCATTGTACTCTGGCCTAGATGACAGAGTGAGATCCTGCCTTACACTTTTTTTTTTGAGTTGGAGTCTCACTCTGTCGCCCAGACTGGATTGCAGTGGCCGCTCCCGGCCACCGCAGCGTCGACCTGCTGGGCTCCGGCGATCCTTCCGCCTCAGCCTTCCAAGTAGCTGGAGCTACAGTGCCCGCTACCATGCCCGGCTAATTTTTTTGATTTATTGTAGAGATGAGGTCTTGCCAAGCTGCCCAGGTGTGTCTTTAACCCGCGGGCTCAGGCAAATCACTTACCTTGGCCTCCCAAGGCGTGGGATTACAGGCTGAACCACCAAGCCCAGCCCTGCCTTACATTTTTTTTTTTTTTTTGAGTTGGAGTCTCACTCTGTCGCCCAGACTGGAGTGCAGTGGCCACTCCCAGCCACCGCAGCCTCGACCTGCTGGGCTCCGGCGATCCTTCCGCCTCAGCCTTCCAAGTAGCTGGAACTACAGGTGTGCGCTACCACGCCCAGCTAATTTTTGATTTTTATTGTAGAGATGAGGTCTCGCCAAGTTGCCCAGGCGGGTCTCGAACCCCCTGCCTTACATTTTAAAAATTATTTTGTTTTGGTAATTTGAACAATTTGCCTAAATTACCTAAGGTCATGACAACATTGATATGGACTATATCAATACATATTATATTCAGATTTATTTATTTAAGAAAGGTAGATTTATTAAAGGAAAAATATGTTGTGAGGGGATAGAAGGCAGGACAGCAGTGAGGGTGTCTGCTATATTCAGATTCAAAACTGAGAAAATTAAAAAAAAATCTGTTACACAATAACAAATAATCTTTTTTTTTTTTTTTTTGAGTTGGAGTCTCACTCCGTCGCCCAGACTGGAGTGCAGTGGCCGCTCCCGGCCACCGCAGCCTCAACCTGCTGGGCTTCGGCGATCCTTCCGCCTCAGCCTTCCGAGTAGCTGGAATTACAGACGCGCGCCACCACGCCCGGCTGATTTTTTTATTTATTGTAGAGATGAGGTCTCGCTGCCCAGGCGGGTCTCGAACCCACGGGCTCAGGCAATCTACTCACCTCAGCCTCCCAAAGGCACGGGATTATAGGCTGAGCCACCGAGCCCAGCACAAATAATCATTTTTATGAAAAATAACTTTTCTAGAACTAAAAAGGTAAAAGAGTACATTAGTTTATTTTAAATTTTTTCAAATCCCTGTAATATCTTATTTAACAGAAGATTTTGGTTTCTCATATCTGTCTCTGTTCAGTCTATTTCAATACATTGTTTTGACGGAAGCTGGTGAAGAAAACCCAACTTTATATGCAAATGGAAAAAGGAAGAGTGTTATAATAGCTTTTCCAGTGGATTTTTTGATACTACATCAAAACCAGACAAATAGTTTCTCAAAGCTGTTATAATGTGGAATTAGATGCCATAGCTATGAACTTTTTGCACCTTGTTATGTTAAAATCCATGGTTCTCTTTTACACATTGAATGGTTCTTTTATAAAGCACATGACTTTGTATAAACCATGAGTTACATGGGAAATACTGATCACTGAGTGATGAAGGTCTTTAATGAAAATATCGACAATTCCAGTATACAGCATAAAAAATTGCATTTGTTAATGTCACACTGATCTCATCAGAAGTTCTTAGATATTAAGCTGTCAAGTTCACAGTAGTGGATAAAGGGTTTCCAAAATTCTAATTTTCTTTTTTTTTTTGGGAGTCGGAGTCTGTTATTCAGGCTGGAGTGCAGTGATGCTATAAAGTCCACTGCAGCCTCAACATGCTGGATTCTGGTGATCCTTCTGTCTCAGCCTTCCAAGTAGCTGAAACCACAGGCTTGAGCCATCATGCCTGGCTATTTTTTTTTTTTTTTTTGAGTTGGAGTCTCACTCTGTCGCGCAGACTGGTGAGCAGCCACTGCAGCCTCGACCTGCTGGGGCTCCGGTGATCCTTCAGCCTCAGCCTTCCAAGTAGCTGGAACTACAGGCACACGCTACCACACCCAGCTAATTTTTTTGATTTATTATAGAGATGAGGTCTCACCAAGTTGCCCAGGTGGGTTTTGAACCCGCGGGCTCAGGCACTCCACTCACCTCAGCCTCCCAAGGCGCGGGATTACAGGCTGAGCCACTGAGCCCGGCTTATTTTTTTGATTTATTGTACAGATGAGACGTCGCCAAGTTGCCCATGCTGGTCTCGAACTCCTGGACTCAGGCTATCTTCTTTCCTCTGCCTCCCAAAGTACAGGATTACAGGCTCGAGGATTCATCAAGAACATTCTTAGTGAAACTAGTCTTTTTAAAAAACAATAGTAAGCCAGACTCGGGCTCACTTTGGGAGGCTGAGGTGAGTGGATTGCCTGTTCGAGACCCGCCTGGGCAACTTGGTGAGACCTCATCTCTACAATAAATAAAAAATTAGCCGGGCATGGTAGCGTGTGCCTGTAGTTCCAGCTACTTGGAAAGCTGAGGCGGAAGGATCGCCAGAGCCCCAGCAGGTCGAGGCTGCGGTGGCCGGGAGTGACCACTGCACTCCAGTCTGGGTGACGGAGTGAGACTCCAACTCAAAAAAAAAAACCCAAAAAACAAACAAAAAAAAGCAATAGCAAAAAACTCTGAGTACATGCTGATGAAGAACACAGTGACTTCTAGCACAGTTTGATGCCATTGCCCCGATTCATGCTAAGATAGCAGTTTAGCTCAAATGCTAAAACAGTGAAAAAAGCCCATAGTATCCCAGTGTTAAATTAGAATAGCTGAATATTATCATGAAAATAGTTTAACTTGCAGACCTCCTGAAAAAGTCTCAGAGAACCGCAAGGGTCTGTGGACCATACTTCGAGAATCACTTTAGGGAAAGGCAGACCAATTTTGGCTACATGTAAGTCTTGAATGAATACAGAGGTGTGGCTTCGCTAAGCTGTTCTGTATTACGTGTAGGGTACCAGGTAGCATCATAATAGAAATAGCCAACACTGCACTGCTTCACTCTGTGCCCAGCACTGCTGTCAGGCTGAATGTGTGAGTATACTTACCTACCCATTGCCATCCTTGACTTTCATTGTTTCGTTCAGGTCCACGACTACCCTACAGGAAAGGAACAGAAGCTGAGGGAGGTTAAGGACCAGCCCCAAGTGACCTTGCTCTTGTTGGCCAGGATTCAAAGCCAGGCTCAAGGCCACACTCTTCCTCAGAACCCCTGACTGACTAAACAAACCTAGGGAGGCAGTGATGTGTCACCTGTCTGGGGGACTGGGAGCAGACGGATATTACCTCTAGGGAGGCAGCGCGGGAATGGACAGGGCACCCTTGCAGGGTGTCATCTGGGCATGCCGCCTGACCTCCGCCCTCTGCCCTTTGCCCTGGCAGGATGACTTCTCGGGACCAGCTGGTGCAGCAGGTGCTGCGGGAGCTGCAGGAGGCAGTGGAGGCCGAGGGCCTGGAGGGTCTCGTGGGGGCCGCCCTGGAGGCCAAGCGGGTCCTGTCGTCCTTCGCCCTCCCCACGTGCCGGGAGGGAGGCCCTGGCCCCCAGGTGCTGGAGGTGGACTCGGTGGCCCTGAGCCTGTACCCCGATGACGCCCCGCGGAACATGCTGCCGCTGCTGTGCGCGGGCGAGGGCAGCCTGCTGTTCGAGGCCGCCAGCCTGCTGCTGCGGGGGGACGCGGGCCTCAGCCTGGAGCTGCGCGCCCGCACGGTGGTGGAGATGCTGCTGCACCGCCACTACTACCTGCAGGGCATGATCGACTCCAAGGTGATGCTGCAGGCCGTGCGCTACTCCCTGTGCTCCGAGGAGTGCCCCGAGATGACCCGCCTGCCGCCCGCCACGCTGGAGGCCATCTTCGACGCGGACGTCAAGGCCTCCTGCTTCCCCAGCAGCTTCTCCAACGGCTGGCACCTGTACGCCCTGGCCTCCGTGCTCCAGCGCAACATCTACTCCATCTACCCCATGCGCAACCTCAAGATCCGGCCCTACTTCAACCGCGTCATCCGGCCGCGCCGCTGCGACCACATGCCCTCCACGCTGCACATCATGTGGGCCGGCCAGCCGCTCGCCGGCCGCCTCTTCCGCCACCAGTACTTCGCGCCCGTGGTGGGGCTGGAGGAGGTGGAGGCGGAC